AAAAAAAAAAGGGCTTATTTTGAAAAACTCTTTGCTTTCAAATGTTCCTTACACTTTAAACTGTAGGGTCACCAATAGTTTCCCTGCAACTGAAAGGTTTGTTTTAAAACTAAGCTAGTCCTGCAAAAACTATGGGTATGAATAATCAACAAAAATAAACCAAACACTTGTTTTCAGCGCTCTAGGGAGTTTGGAACTAGAGATGAGAAACTGTAGCGTTTTGCTTTCAAACTGTTCTACTAAAGAAATGCATTGAATCTTTTCACAAGGGAGTATATAAACTGGTGCTGTTAGAAGAAAGGCTTTGGAATAATCTTAGATTATAAGCAAAATTCAGATCAAGCAAGGTACTTTAATATTCTCTTTATTTTTAATTTTGCTCCTAGTTTTTACTAATCTCCAATTGAGGGAAGATATTTAATCTATGTCATTATTAAATAGTGCAGCCTTGGTGGCCTAGTGGTTACACATTGGGTTATTTAATAGCAAGGTCAGCAGTTTGAAACCACTAACTTTGCCTCTGGAGAAAGATGGGACTTTATACATTTTGTAAAAAAATTAGTTCAGAAACTCTCAGGGTACCAGGGTAGTTCTATCCTGTCCTACAGAGTCGCTATAAACAGAAATCGACTCCATGAGAGTGAGTTTAGTCTGGATTTGGTTATTCGACATGTAGTTCTCTATGTGTAGAGTTTCCTAAAGTTACAGATCAAAAGTATTCAGATCAATGAGCTATCTTAAAATGAATATATCCATGCAGCCATCACCCAAAGAAAATAGTTTTTAATGTAAAGTTAACACCTACCTATAGAATTTTTTTCTTCATTTTGTCTGAGACACAATTCTTTATATTCAGATTCTGCATATGCTTGAGTTAGTTACACTAAGGGCTGCTAATAGCTACTAGAATTCTAGGCATACCATCTAAAGAAAATGGTGATGCAAACTATTTCTCCGTAATGGAAGATACTACCATTAATAATTTTTATAAAACGAAGTGATTATACTTGCCTTTTCTCATTCTTTTATAAACTCCTCTTGTGGATTATTAACTTTGCTAGGCCAGCTGCTCACTGCTTCCAATTTATAGTGGAGGATAAATCTAGGACGGCAGATGGTTATATATTTTCCTGTGATGTAACTTGCTGAGATAATGGAGTACACAAGTGCTTTGTAAATGTTGTACTGCTGCAGAAATTATCGTGACAATCTTTTTCTAAAGAGAATTCCTTTTTAAACAGCAAGGAATCCGTGGAGCCACGTAGCTGGTATATATACTGCAAGCTGAAGTGGTCCAAGAGGTCCGTGTGTGGGCACAAACCAATTATGGTTAAGCACTTACTGAAATTGCTTTTTTCCGTCAGGATAGAGAATGATGGATAACAAGTCAAATCGATGGAAAGCCTTTACAGGTAAGTGTGGCCCCAAGGTTACTGCTACTTCCTTTCACTCACTGGAACATTTCACTTCCTTAAAGAGTGGGTGGAAACAATCACATTCTTTGCACAAGAAACCCCACGACTGGGACTCCAGTTAGTTCCATTTAGGAGACGGGGATTTATGTGCATGGACGGCTATGGAAATCTGCCTAGTTCCCACTGGCCTAGAGCTTCAAGAGTCCAGGGTCCCGAATTTCAGTCTCTGGGAGCTCAGAGCCCTGGGTAAACAATTCGGATGTGCGGGAGGCCTCTACAGATGTCTTCCTGGGTGGATGACCCCTGGGACCAGGGTGTCCCTCCGGAGGGCCATCCAGCGGTACTGGCAGTTTGGGGTTCGTCAGTACCCTCGCAGTCCTCACTCCCGCTGCTCAGATGCAGCCTAGAGGGTTAAGATCTGACTCTCAAACGTGGCCGCGTTTCCCTAGATGCAACACCCATTAAGTCCTTCCATTTGGCCGGCCTCTCTTCCGACGCCCCAGGGGGCCGACGGGCTCGGCGCGGATGGCGCATGCGCGTTGCCGACCGCGCAGCTTCCGGCCGGGGGCGGGACCTGGTCTCGCGAGGTCGGGGCACTCTCGCCCTCTGACCGGCTCGCGACTCTGGCGAGCATGGCGCGGCACGTGTTCCTCACCGGGCCGCCAGGTAACCCCGCGCGGTGTCGGGGCCGGCGTGGCCGGTGGGCTCCCCAGACCGAGGTCTGGGGGATCGCGAGGTGGGGGCTGCGAGGGCGGGGAGGGGCTGCTCGCGGACCCGGGTCTTAGGTGGCGTGGCCTTTAAAGCTCCGGATTTAAAACAAGCGTGGCAGCCCTTTCAGGAAGAATGGTTTTTAATTATGAACCCGTGTAGGATTAGAAATGGTGAGAAAGGACCGGACTTGTGGTACATGTTTCTTCATTAGGGCACCTGGGGGCTGGGGACCCACACGCCCTATGCAGACTGGGTGTTGAGTTGCAGGCACAGGGTCGTGGAGCTAGAGAAGTAATCACAGAGCTCACTGGCCCTGAATGTTCTCTGTGGGAAGCCCGAAGGGTGAGAAGCACTGTCACTCATAGACTCCCTGGTCCTGTTGGCAGCCCATCCCATCCCTCTCATGTCTCACCCTGTTTCCCCCAAAATAAGACCTACTTACAGTTTTGCCTCTCGCTGAAATATAAGGCATCCCCCCGAAAATAAGACCTCCCTGAAAATAAGGCCGCCCTAATCTACCGTGCCCACAGCTCACTGTTGGCCGCTGGCAGCCGGAGCAGACAGGAGGTCTCTTTTAATGAAACAAACAATAAATGTGTACAGTATTCTTCATGGAAAAATTAAGACATCCACTGAAAATAAGACCTAGCGCATCTTTGGGAGCAAAAATTAATATAAGACACTGTCTTATTTTCGGGGAAACAGGGTAGGACCGTCACTGGGCAGCTTCTTTAACTTTTTTGAGTTCTCAACTGCAGAGTGGGTAGTGTGAGGCTTATTGTTCAACGAAGGGAGGGGATCCTAAACTTTTTACACCAAGATGCTGCACATGGGCCAAGTAGTACTAAGGGTGATGGACAAGAAGAAGGTGTCACAAAGGCAAAGGCAAGAAGATAGACGTAGAATAGGGTTGCCTCACCTCTGCTTAGAATTCTCTTTTGCTTTATTTTATCCTTTGGTTTAGCCTAAGTAGCAATGACTATGTATGATATTGCTGATTTTGGAATTTCCTTTATACCCGTAGGGGTGGGAGAGATATATCCACTTCAAAGGTAGACCATTAAGAGGGGACTTTAAAGACTTTGTGGAAAATGGATTTAAAAGTAATGTAATTTTTCCAGACTTTTTGAAGCCCTTTGTAGTGTCAAGGACTGTCTACTGAAAGTTGGTTTGTAAATCCATGTGAAACTTGGTATGCAGATGTCTAAGCAGGTTAGCCCCAAGACATTGTATTTTTCATTGCAGAGATGACCATTATCATGGTCACACCTTCCTTATGCCCGCAGGTGGGGTGGAGGGTGGATTATGGTTTGACTGCCACTGGTTCTTCTTTGTTTTCTTTTTTACATTAGTTTTATGTGGAAATAATTTTTTCAAGTACATTTTCTACTCACTTATCACTTACCTGATTCTCCAAACTTTAAAATTCGTGACACTAGTGGAAAAAAACCTGTTGTTCACATTAATAACTTATGCATGACAGCTTGAATTACAATGCCAGAGGCAAGAGTATGCCGACTCTGATGGATAGGGTTCTGGCTGGGCCATGACTGACTGGGCCATGATTCTGTGTGGTTTGACAGTTGTGCGATGATGCAATTATCTTCAATTTTGTAGTCTGAGATAGTCATGCTCTATTTTCTAATAACATTGGTTCTCACATAACAACCTGATGTTTGGGGTCCGTAAGTGAAGAGAAGATGTAATTCTTTAGCATAACTTTCTTAAACTTGTCCACACACCCATCTCCCTTAATTTTATATCCATCTTCTCAATGCAGTCAGATATCATTTTGATTAAGTTAATAGTATGATTACATAAGAGCAGAATTAAGTAATCTATAGTTGTTATTAGACTTTCCTTTTTATACTTTTTATTGTCAACTGAGTGAAGCAGATCAGTTTTCTGTTCAGCAGTTGTTGACATTTTGTTTCAGATTATTGATGGTAATTCCCACTTACCCCACTTTTTCCTTGTGTTTTTTGTTTCCATCCCTCCTTTTCTAACCCTTCTGAACTTTGTCCTTGGGTAAATGCTGCCCCTCTGATCTCAAAGGGTTGATTATACTAAGGGGTGCCCATCTCTGTAGTGTTACTGTCCCCAAAGACCTGCTGGCTTCCCCTGAACACTGAACCACAGAAGTGAATTCATTTCCTGACCTGAGGGGTGACTAATGGCCAAAGCCTCAAAGGTTCCATCAGTTTCTCTTCTAGTCTTTTTTATGATTTTGAGTTTTGTTCCACTTTTTTCTCCCACTCTATCCAGGAACTTCTAATGTGATCTTTGTGGACTGGTTACACTAATTGATTTTGGTATCTCCCAAGAGCATGGCCCTGAGCCCCTAGGCCCAGTGACTCATATTCTGTTTGATTAGGGCTCATACAACTCTTATCACAATCCATACACACATCAATTGTGTAAAGCACATCTGTACATTCATTGCCGTCAGCATTCTCAAAACATCTGCTCTCCACCTAAGCCTCTGGTCAGCTCCTCATTTTTTCCCCTCCCTCCCTTCTCCCACCCCCCTCATGAACCCTTGATAATTTATAAATGATTATTTTGTCATATCTTGCCCTGTCCGATGTCTCCCTTCACCCACTTTTCCATTGTCCGTCCCCCAGGGAGGAGGTCACATGTAGATCCTTGTAATCGGTTCCCCCCTTCCAGCCCACCCTCCTGGCATCGCCACTCACACCACTAGTCCTGAAGGGATCATCCGCCCTGGATTCCCTGTTTCCAGTTCCTATCTGTACCAGTGTACATCCTCTGGTCTAGCCATACTTGCAAGGTAGAATTGGGATCATGATAGTGGTGGGGGAGGAAGCATTTAGGAACTAGAGGAAAGTTGTATGTTTCATCATTGCTACATTGCACCCTGACTGGCTCGTCTCCTCCCTGAGACCCTTCTGTAAGGGGATCTCCAGTGGCCTACAAATGGGCTTTGGGTCTCCACTCCACACTGCCCCCCTCATTCACTATGGTAAGATTTTTTGTTCTGATGATGCCTGATACCTGATCCCTTCGACACCTCATGATTGCACAGGCTGGTGTGCTTCTTCCATGTGGGCTTTGTTGCTTCTGAGCTTGATGGCCGCTTGATTACCTTCAAGCATTTATGATCCCAGACAGACGCTATATCTTTTGATGGCCAGGCACCATCAGCTTTCTTCACCACATTTGCTTATTCACCCGCTTTGTCTTCAGCGGTTGTGTCAGGAAGGTGAGCAATTTGATTATGTTTTAAGAACTTTTCATAACTTTGCCCCTTGTATGTTCCACCACATTCATGGATATATTTGCAGCAAAGATAACTGTTGCTAGATGCTGTCAAGTTGATTCCAACTCAAAATGACCTTATGTCAGACAGAAAGGAAACATAGCCTGGCCTTGTCCCATCCTCACAATTGTTATTATATTGAGTCCATTGTTACATCCACTGTGACAACCCATCTCTTATATTTATCTTACAAAGATAAACACACACATACAAATAACCTTTATCAAACCTATGTATATTTAAAGGTCTAGTCTCACTCCAGCCTGCATATCTATCCTTGGATTTTTTCCATTTGTTTTCCTTTTTGGTTCCCCTCTTTTGACTTACTATGTTTGGAAGCACCTGTTTAATGAGCTTTGTTAATGGAGTAGAAGGAATGGAAGGGGTCAGAGGTGAGGAGGCTGAGAGGGTGGTAGTTCATGGGTTACATATGGGTAGGTGGTGGGGTTGAAATAAAAGAATGCATTGGAGAGGAAATGCTTTAAGGAGTAACCAATTGGAGAGGACTGTTACTAAGGAAAAATAAAAAACAATAATTTTAATGTTATTAATGATCTTCCAGCCATACATTCTCAGGAGGCCTAGTAATACAAGTCTTTGGTGGAGTGAAGAGGTCTTTTCATTGCTAAACACAGCTCAGGAGCATCTGGGAAGTTTAGAAAACGTAGTTTACAATACCCAGCCTTTGACCCAAACATGATCAGCTTTCCTTTCTAGGTTAAAAGCAGCAGCCCAAGGAAGAGGGTAAATCTAGGCTAAAACAGAAACATGTTTCCTAGATTGCAAATTGCTCTTGAGACTGTTGACTCGGTTTTAGGATTGTATATGTGACAGAACTAAGAATTTCTCACGATTTAAAAATAAAGGATGAGTTATTTTTTATTATGCTTGCTTCTACTTGAAATTAAAACGTTTTAGCACCTGGAGCAATCATAATGAAAGATTAATATTCATAGAATTTATTTGCAACTATTTTTCAACCCACTGTGATTGCTGTCAGAGTCACTTGTGTGCTCCAGGAAGAGTGTTTCCTAATGGCTTTTTCTTTTTTTTTTCTTTAAAGGGGTTGGAAAAACCACTTTGATCCATAAAGCTAGTGAAGCCTTAAAGTCCTCTGGTGTGCCTGTCGATGGATTTTACACAGAAGAAGTCAGACAAGGAGGAAGAAGAATAGGATTTGATGTTGTCACTCTGTCTGGTACCCGGGGCCCTTTATCGAGAATTGGGTACTTTAATTACTACTGTGTTTTTTCATCCAAACTGCCCTACGCATGTTTGGTTTGTTGAATTCTGATTCAATAAAAGCTGCATGGTTTAGTAAGACTCTTGTTAGGTCCTTGGATACCACTCTTTTTATCCTTCAGAAATTGGGCGGAAGGTTGAGCCAAATATATCTATATTTTATTTAAGAATGTTTGGTTTTTAGGAATTATCAGAAAAAGAAAACAGATTGAAACCATCATATGAAAACAAATTAAAATAATAATAATCACAAACATCTGTGGACTAAGGTAGTATCCCAGCATATTTCACAAATATTTCAGGGATGAAGCCGTCACTTGCTCCAGGTTACACCAAAAAAGGACCAAATGTTCTGACAGGGACCTTTATGTTTCACTCTGCCTGTATTTTTGAGCCTTACTCCCATGTAAGGAGCTCTGGTAACTCAGTGAGTTAAGTGTTGAGCTGCTAACCACAAGGTTGGTGATTCAAACCCGACAGTCACTGTGCAGGAGAATGGTAAGGCTGTCCTTCCCCCATCAATATTGACTAACTGAGGAGCAGTTAGTTCTACTCTGTCCATAGTGTCGATGTGAGTGAGAATCATTTTGATGGCACGGGCCTGGTTTATTGGGGTTTGTAGTTGTTCCCATATGGTGTTCACTTAATGGAGTCATAATCATACAAAAAAACGAGCAAACCGGGTTGATTTCTACTATGTGATATTTTGATATATTATACATATATCACATTCAAGGTTATACACATTCTAGGTTCCCTAAGAAATATGTTTACTGCACATAAATTATGATCCATTATTTTAAATTATATGCTGCCTCCTTCCTACAAACTTCACAATAACAAACAATGACTCTGGCCCTTTGGAACACAAGCTTCTCAAAAAGATCTGTGTCACATGCCCTCTGGTTCCTAAGAATATATCTGGTTACTAAGTATAACAACATTCTAATCCAACGGCCCATCGGTAATTGTCATATTCGGAAAATCTTCTGAAGAGCTCTTTTAGTATAAGCAGGTGGCATTGGTGAGTGTGTAAACTGATAATTACTTTTCCATGGAAGGTGAGGTGTGGAATTTAATCACATACTCATAACCAAATTTACTGTCATCGAGCCAACTTCAAATCATACTTCACGTCAGACGTACTCCATTGAATCCAGACCAAATTTCACTCTGCAATTCTTAGCCCCATTCCCATGCCAATTTTCCAAGTTGGTTGGTGTCTTCCATTGTAAGTGCAGGTCCATTGTTCACTTACAGGTCACTTATGGGAAAAGTTAAATCAGATCAGCTTCTTTGTGTCCATGGTTTTAAAGGGTGATGTAGTACATATTGAAGACCAGAGTCTCAGTGGAGTAGCTCAAAACCTAAAATCGATACGAGAGACTTTCAACAAAGAACATAATGTCTTTTCATCCAGGTCAGAGCCACGATCTGGAAAGCATGAAAACCGAGTTGGACAGTACGTGGTTGATCTGACTTCCTTTGAGCAGTTGGCCCTCCCTGTCATGAGGAATGTGAGTCGTATACGGTTGGACTTATTGACCTAATTTGTTCTATGTGCCCTTTGGGAATTCACTCACCTTGCGACTAGGGTAGCTATTATTATTCTGGAGAAGTCATCCTACTGAGTGTGATGTGGCTTCTCTTTGTGGTTTTGATTTGTATATCCTTGATGAATAATGATGCTGATCTTCTTTCATGAGCTTATTCCATCTGTATCTTTTTTTTGGAGAGATATCTATTCCAATTTTTTGCCCATTTTTTCCAAATGGATTGTCTTTTTGTTACTCATTTATCAGTTATGTGTGTTGTTTGTAACAAATCTGTTACCAATTGTTTTATATGGAAGTTATTTTCTTCTATTTTGTGGGTTATTTTTTTATTTTCTTCATAGTACTTATTGTTTGAAGCACAGTATTTTTTATTTTTGAAAAGTTTATTTTTCTTTTGTTCCTAGTGTTTTATCAAAGAATGCTTTAGCCAAAGTTCATGAAAATTTGCTCCTGTGTTTTCTTACGTACGAGTTTTATAGTTTTGTTGTCATATTTAGGTTCCTGAGCCATTTTAAACATAATTTTTATATATGATCTGATCCCACTTCTTTCTTTACGTATAGATATCCAGTTGACCCAGCACCATTTATTGAAAAGACTGTCCTTCACTCTACTGACTTGTCCTTGTGCCTTGGGGAAAGTCAGTTAACCATAAATGTTGTTGTTAGATACCATATTGCTGGTGGGTACCAGTTCTGACCCATAGTGACCCTATGCACAACAGAACAAAACACTACACAGTCCTGTGCCATCTTCATAATTGTCCCTATACCTAAGCCCATATAGAAGGGTTTATTCCTGGGCTTTGAATTATATTCTGTCTATCCTTTTATTAGTACCACACTATTGTGTCCTGGCATTTTGGTTCGAAAGTATTGAATCTGTAGATCATTTTGGAGCGTATTACTATCTTAACAATGGTCTTTTAATCTATTAACATAATTTATTTCTTTTTCTTTTTATCTTCATCTTAGTTTAAATTATACCTAAGCATTTTATTCATACTGATGTTATTGTCAATGGAATTGTTTCCTTAACTTCATTTTATAGAATGTTCAAAATGTGTGGTATACTTTTATATATTGATTTTGTGTCCTTTAGCCACAGGAGCCCTGGTGGCCTAGTGGTTAGTATTCGACTGCAATATGCAAGGTCCAAAGTTCAAAAACACCAGCCACTCCTTGGAAGAAAGGTGGGGCTTTCCACTCCCTTAAAAGGTTACAGTGTTTGAAACTCACAGGGGCAATTCTCCCCTGTCTTATAATGTCGCTATGATTCAATGGCAGTGAGTTTGGTTTATTGGTTTACAACCTTCTCAATGAATTTGTCATTTCTTAGAATTTTTAAGTGGATTCCTTAAGTTTAAATTATACACAATTATACTATAAATAGATAGTTTTATTTTTTCCTTTACAAACAAAACAGACTCACTGCCACTGAGTCAATGACAATTCATATTGACCCTACAGGACAGGGTAGAACTGTCCCTGTACATTAAGGACACCATAACTTTACAGAAGGAGACAGCTCCTTGGCCTGTGTTTATGAACTGTTGATTCTGTATCACAGCCCAACACGTAGCTACTGTACCACCAGGCTTCTAAATACCTTTTATTTTCCTGCCTGATTTCTTTGGTTTGGACTTCTAGTACAGTGTTGTATAGTAAGGGTGAGAGCAGATAACTTTATCTCTTTATCTGAGGAGGAAAACATTCAGCCTTTTACTATTGTATATAATGTTAGCGTTGAGTATTTTTATAGATGATCTCCATCAGATTGAAGTTTTATTTATAGTATGTGTATGTTTCTATAATAAAAATGTTAGATTTTTGTCAAATCCTTGTTACGGGTCTCTTTATTATTGAGTTAGTTTCAGTAATTTGTCAATTTTATCTAAGCTATACAATTTATTGGCATACAATTGTTCAGAATATCTTCATATAATTTTATTTTCTAACATTAGTGAGGTCCCTCCCTTCTTTCATCCTTGATATTAGTTATTTATGTCAGCTCCCTCTTTTTCTCGGTCAGTCTAGCAAATAGATTGTGTGATGGTTTAAGTTGTGTGTCAGCTTGCCTGGGACATGATTGTTAGTGGTTTGGCGGTTATGTAATGATGTCGTCCTCCCCCATTTTATTCTCTAATACAATGTAATCATTTCCATGTTGAAATGCAATATAATGTGATCACTTCCATGATGAGATCTGCTAGAGTAGCGAAGCTGTCGAAAGGGAGTTATTTCAAAAGGAAATAGAGGAAAGAACTAGGAGGCAAAGGGCATTTATAGAGGTCTAAATACAGGCATGTACATATGCAAATATGTTTGTATATGACAATGGGGAAATAAATCTATGCATATATTAATAGGTTTAGTATTAAGATAGCATATGGGCATTGGGCCTCTGCTCAAGTATTCCCTCAATGCAGGAACACATTGTTATTAAACACACATATTAAAATGACATTCCATGGTGCTCACCTTCCCAACACAACTGCTGAAGCGGGTGCATAAGCAAATGTGAAGAAAGCTGATGGTGCCCAGCTATCAAAAGATAAAGCGTCTGGGGTTTTAAAGGCTTGAAGATAAATAAGCAGCCATCTAGCTGAGAAGCAACAAAGCCCACATGGAAGAAGCACACCATCCTGTGTGATCACAAGGTGTCAACAGGATTAGGTAACAGTCATCAAAAAACAAAAAATTCATATTGTGAATGAGGGGGAGTGCAGAGTGGAGACCCAAAGACCATCTGCAGGCAACTGGCCATCCCCTTACAGAAGGATCGTGGGAAGGAGACAGGCCAGTCAGGGTGCAGTATAGTACCGATGGAACATACAGCTTTCCTCTAGTTCTTTAATGCTGCCTTCTTCCCCTCCCCCACTATCATGATCCCAATTCTACCTTACAAATCCGGTCAGACCAGAGGCTATACA